TATACAGCATTTTTCACATAATATAACATTTCATTGAGTTTCCCTTTGTTTTAAAATGTCTTGCATTGCTGTAATAAGATACTAAAAAGCATATGATTTGAGCCGGTCATCTATATGGAACATTCAAAATGCGAGATGAAAAAAGACCAAGCTCCATCTAATTCGCCATCCACCTTCCTGGCGATTGCATGTACATATGTCTCGAACGATCTATATACTATATCCCATAATGTTATTTGCTGAAAGAAAATTTGTGTTTGAAAGAATCAACACTTCTTGCTTCAACCATCTCCTAGGAAGCCTGTTGCACAGGTTCACTATTCGCTCACTGAAATAGTGCTTGTGTAGATTTGTTCTGAATTTACCCCCCTTCAATCACAGGCCATGTCCTCTGGCAAAACTCTACGGAAAACAAGGGAAAAAATATCCACTCCCACATGGTCTCTCAGTACATACTAAACGCAGGCTGGCGTAGGTTTCAATGACATATTGCATATTGTATTTGTGTTCAGATAAATTCCCTGCAATTTCATACCAAAACAAATAAACACTCCGTATTTATCAGAGTTTTGTGCGTCACTTCTAAGAATGATGAACTTGGTACTTTGACAATACATATATATAAAACAATGGGGTGGGAAGCATTTTGGCATGTGGTATTACCTCTAGCAAAAATCACATCAATCAAAATTGTAGCGAAAAGCAGTTCAGCATAATAATTCTTGCATTTGATACAGCATCTATTATATCAAAATGTCTAAAAGCACTTCACAGGTAATTGTAGTTAAGTATTTATAAGTAAATGGAGAAGCCAATTTATGTTCAGTGACCCACAAACAACCATGAAGTGACTGACCAATTTAAATGGAAGATTGATGGCCGGGACAACAATAGAAACTCCTTTTTATTTGTTAATAATGTCATGGGATCTCTAACATCCACCTAACCAAGCAGAAGGGACTGCTTGTTTCATCTCATCTGAAGGATAGTACCTCGGGCAATACAGCACTCCCTCAGTGCTGCGTTGGGGTGTCAGCCTAGACTGTGAACTTAAAAGTCCTACATAGCTCTAGAATCTTTTCTACCAAAAACACCAACAACAACAACAACTTGAATGTATATAGGGCCCTTGACATAATGTAGCATCTTGGAATGCTGAAGCAGAGGCGAGAGTGCTACCAACTAATTTAGGTTGTCACAAATAGACAGCATTGGTCAGGAAGAGGGAAATAAGCTACAGCCCCAAAGATAGTGATAACCATTGCCCTTTCAAGGACATTTTCTGTCAATGTGACAAGATCACGTGCAGTGTTTTTTGTCCCCCATTGAAATGCTTTCAAGTTTGTGCTTGTAAATGTGGAATTTTATTCATCACATTGTGTTTTTTCAGTACATCTTTAAGTGTTTCACTGAAGCACAAATATTTTGACAATCAAAGACATTTGTAATGAAAACACTTAGAACATGAAAATACCTAACTTTAGCAATGTTTTGCAATAAAAAAATCTTTCTTTCATAAGATGAATAGGTTTTATACAGAGGTCACAGCCTAGACTGATACACCAGTATGGTGCTGGGTTGTGCTTCATTTTTGGTTGAGACATGAAACCAAAATCCCGTCTACTTGTTCAGATAGAGAGGGAGTGAGACAGAGGGGTAGAGGGAGGGAGTTCCATAGGTTAAGACATAGATTCTGAAAGCTCAGCCACTGATGATGACGTGGAAAGTATAGCAAAAGACTATTTTCTGCCTATAACATTGCCAGGACCCATCAGCAAATGAATCAGCAGCAAATAAATATGAAACGTTATTATTTTGGTGTAACTATCTTTATAACCTTCATTCAAAAGACCCAGAAGTTCATTCCATGGCATTTAACAAGATTTATCCCTTGTAATTACTCTATTCATGAAGAGTTTTGTGAATAATTCTTTGAAAAATGCAAGTTAAAACTAACTGTTGAACGACTGAATTAATTAATCCCAGAAAGTTGAGCACTGGTTTCCTTGGATACCTCCAATGAGGTCATTAGCCTGGCAAGATAATTTTATTTTTCTGCCAGCAATGCCACTTCACCTTGTTAAAATAGTTGATAGTATCAGAGGAACAGGGAGAAAATAACCACAAAATCTGTTCTGAATTTTGAAAGCTAACATTAAGTTGAGACTCGACTTCATCCCTCCCTCCCCACCTTTGAAGCCCACCTCAAGACCTTCCTTTTCAACCTACTTTTGGTCCCCTTACCCCCACCCCCAACCCAAATCTTCCACAGCTCTATGCACCTCGCAATCTGCCTTGTGAAGCAATGGGAGTCGTCCTCCCGGCATGAAAGGATGTAAAGTTTTTACCGTTGATGAGTCACTTTTTTTTACAATAACGCCCATTTATAATAATTTGGTAAAACGTTCAGCTTCCAGAAGGCAAAAAATTATTCAAAAGCCCTCGATCAACAATAGGTTCCTCTGTCATCTAATTTAGTATCTTACCTCACTTTTCTCCTTTCACCCAAAGATATGCATTTCAACCACACATAAGGTCACAAGAGAGATTGAGATGAAGAAGGCCCTTCAGTCCATTTGATCTCATCCTTTCAGAATACCTACCTTACCATTCTCCCATTACAACATAAAGCTGCATTTTAAATAAGTCCAGTGCCCTGGCATCAACAATCGTTACTCATAAAAACCGCCCACACCACTGCTGGTGGTGAAACAAGTATTAGAACATGTTGGTGTGTACACTGTCGGTTTTTCATTACCTGTTAAATAGAGATCTCAGATTTAGATGTGGCAGGTTCCTGAAAGAAATCTGCTGTTTGGAATCTGAATACAACACTCTTAGAGAGACATGGAAAATACCACAATATGTGAATTATTTAATGTGCAACAAATTAAAAATGTCGGTGGTGGTGCTTAATAATATGGTTTCTTCCCAAGACTATTAACTTTTTTGTTAATGCTAATTTGGAACATATATCTACAATATTCAGTTACTGATTTTGCCATGACTGTAATTTATCTAGCGATTTACCGGTGAATAGTTATTGCAGAAAAATAACATTTTCTATTGTATAAAAATACAACCTCCAGCTTGGATGCAAACCCTTCGCTGTCCAGCGTCTTGGGACATCCTCCTGACAGGAAGGGCTCTATATAAATGCAATTTGGTGTTAATGTTGTTGTTGAAAATACATTCCTCAAATCAAGACAGTGTTTGTAAGATTCAGTCAAGCCACAAATCTCAACTGTTCAAAGGACAAACTCGAATCTGATGTGATATTAAAATGTGTTATGGCTGTTACCCGTTGGAAAGAATTTAGGCACTTTGAATTGTGCTTCACCGTAGTCATAGAAAGGTCACAAGATCGGTTTGGATAAAGAAGACCTTTAGCCAATCCGCTCTCATCTTTCTAGAACATCCATCCTACCATCTGCCCAGCACAAAATTAAGACCATTTTGAATGAGTCCAGTGTCCTGGCCTCAACCACCATTCCTGGCAACTGTTTTCCGTCCTTAATTACCTCATGCAAAAGCGTTCAACCAACATTAGTCCAGTCAGTGGCACTTACAGATATAGTTTAGACTGACTCCATCAGTACACCAGGCCTTGAACTTGATGTAAACTTTATTAGTGTGAATATTAATCAGATTTATATTATTGAGTTATGTGCGAGCCTCAAGAGTGAACCAAGAACTAAGGATCTCTGGACTGTTACACAAAATCGCATCACTTCTGCTTCATAAAAGCCAACACCACTATTCCGTACAAGCCACTTTCTGTGAAAAACAATATTTGCTAGGAAATCTGACCAACACAGAAAAAAACTGAGGCTAGGCAGTTAATTCATGACTAAGTACATTCTGTTCAAAGCACACATGATTCATTCTAAAATTACCACTTCAATAGTCGAGTGCAGCATCATTTCTGAATGGAAGTTGAACCCTTTTACCACATTTCTAAAGCAGCTAATAAATAAACCTGATCACACATTCACTTCAGCAAGAGTAAACACAGTGCAAATCCCAAAACACGCACACTGAGTTAAAATCACTAAAATCGCTTATATAATCGTACGTTTACATAACTATCTATGACAAATGGGTTTCTGCGTTTCGCTGCAGTGGTGCTTAATCACTGTTGGCAAGGACTAATACAAGATTTCAGAGCTGGCATTTGTCAAAATGAAGTTTGTTGGCTTGCTATGCACCCCAGAACTCCAATTGACATAGAGCATATATAAAGCACATCAAAGTACAGTATCACCATTTTTTCTTCCTAAAGCACTATCATCACACATTTATCATATGTACTGTCAGAATATCATCTAATAATCTTGCAGAATGAGAAAAGTGCTCCATTGTTCACAAAGAATTACTGATATGACACTGAACAACAAAGCAGTGCTGTAACCATGAGAGATCAATGAGGACAAATGGCAGAAAAGCAAATAGCAGAAAACATCAGGTGACAAGGAGGAACAAAATGGATTCGCTGGCCAAAATCCACTATGGAAATTCCCTTTCATTAATATTCATTGTTTGGTTAGGTCACATGCAATTTCAACTCTGCACTTTTCTCTCTTGTTCTTCCCAGTGTCTAATATGCTACAAAATTTTCCTTAACCCAGTGCAGATTCATTGCACAAATTCATTTTTCTCAGGAAAAGGCGGTCCTTACCTCTCTCTGTCTGTCGGACAATTTCTTCTAAAATCTCCAGCTTTTTTAAACCTAACCTCCTACTTCTGGTTTCATCTCATTTTCTCACCTACTCCTTTGGATCTCGATATCATAAAACATTTGTGTGGCCTTGGCCTCCTGTCTAAGTCTGTCTAAGAAAGAAGACAGGATTGAGCGGTATCTTTGGAATTAAAACATTCTGCAACAAGCACCATCAGATTATATTTGCTAAACAAGCCCCACCTGATCCTCCAACCATTAATAATGCTCCAAAACATGTACATCGCAGATGATGTTGTCCCCTCTTAAAAGATCTTCTTACCTAGTAACACCCAATGGATCTGCCATTTCTACTATCTGCTCAGTTGCTGTCTTGTAGGTCTCTGAATGTTTGACCGGCACAGCATCCTTAGTGGCCTCTTGGTTGAAAAAATCTCCAAATTCCCCTTCATCTTCCTGCTGTTCATCTGTAACATTTCTAGATTTTAAATCTCCTAGGTCTCTGCCTTTTGCTCCTATTGAGAAAAAAAATTGTGAACTGATGGAAATTCAGCAGAAATTAATGACAAGAAAGTTAGCACTAACCTAAATATAAAAGTAGCCAACAAGCAGAGTTGACCATCATCATTCCAATCGTAGCTATGGCACATCTGCTTTGAGGAAAAACGTGCATGAAATATAAATTTACAACTACAGGTCTATTTGCTTAAGATGACGGACACAAATGTATGTGTAAAACCATGAAAACCTACACATTATACCACAATGAGTCGAAGACTTAGACAGAAGCCCATTGGTTTACTTACTCATCTGGATTATAAAACCATTTATTTTTAAGAACTGCAAAGTAACAGTTTCCAATTCAAAACTAAGTGTAATAGTTTTACACATTTCTAAATTTTAAGACAAAATGGTCTTAGAAGCTATGACCAGACAGCATTTGGGGACACAGATACAATAGAAATAAAGATTTACATTCATATAGTGCCTTTGAGTCCCCAGATAGTTATGACTTTCATTTCCACAGTTAGTACGATGCCTGAATCTGCCAACAGCATGTGATCGCTATTGTTGAGAGAGATGTCTTACGTTCAATTAAAGGTGTCTCACTGTCAATTCCTGTTTGAGGTATAGAACTGGAATAAAGGAAGGCCTTAATAGATTGCTTCATTGAAAACATTGCTCCTATCAGGTAATTGTGAAATAGGACACAGGTTGGCCAAACACCACAGAGTTGACCTTGCAGGTATAAAATGTTAAAAGTAATATACATTTATTTGATAAAGACTGATCATTATGTAGCAGATCCATTATAATTACCTAAAAAGGCCAATAACTCAGGACTTGTAACAAGAGTTTTGTCCTTGGAAATAGATCTGAAGATTTCATCAAACGTTGCTCTTCGTTCTTTTATAGCCGACTCCCCTACAAATAAAACCTTTCTGGGCATGGGCGGCAGGCTTGCCTGTGGGTACTGAGTACCTAGCTTCTGATGCAAGGCGTCAATCTCACTGTACTTTTTAGATACCTGCAAAAAATGTTTCAGATTATTATTTAGGTATTTTATTTTCCAGTTATGTACCCTTTAAACCAGTAAACTGGCACACAAGTCTGATCACAGTACTACATCGCCAATACCCAGTTACTCAACAACAACAACAACAACAAGATTCCATTTATAAAGCGCCTTTCACGTCAGGAGGACGTCCCAAGGCGCTGCACAGTTGGGTCATGACCCGAGCAGGGGGGAAATGGTCAGGGTGAGGGGAGGGAAGGGAGGGAGCGAGGAGGGGGGAAATGGTCAGGGTGAGGGGAAGGGAGGGAGCGAGGAGGGGGAAGAGAGTCGAGAGGGGAGCTGAAGGCTCGGTCAAAGAGAAAGATTTTGAGACCGGCCTTGAAGGAGGAGAGGGAGGAAGCAAGGCGAAGGCACTGGGGGATAGAGTTCCAGAGCCTGGGGGCTGAGAGGCTGAAGGCCCGACCACCGATGGTAGGGCGGTTGGGGCGGGGGACGTGGAGCAGACCGGAGCCGGAGGAACGGAGGGTACGGGCAGGTAGGTAGGGGGATAGTAGGTTGGAGAGGTAGGAGGGAGCAAGGCCGTGAATGGCCTTGTAGGTGAGGATGAGGATCTTGAAATCAAGATTTATACAACCTCAATCCTGATATACTACACATTGCTGTTAATTCTATACAATAGGCATCAACCTGGCTCAGTTGGAAGACTCTGGTCCCTGAGTCACCATTCGTTGGTTTAAACCCTACAATGGGGATTTGAGCTCAAAGTCTAGGAAAGTGGTGACCAATCTGTGGCCCACAGGTCGGAAGTGGCCCACGGGGCTGTCAAGAAGCCCATACACCCCCAAACGACCAAACATTCACACAAGGTTAGATAAGTGCGTGTTTGATGATCGGTACTGTGTTTTCAGTTTTTTCTCGATTTAATATTTCTTGATTTATGGCATAAATCAATCAAAAAAATGTATTTTGTTGGCAGACATTAAAGGTTGGCTAGCACTAGTCTAGGCTAACACGCCAACGCAGAGCTACGGAAGCATTACATTCTGAAGATGCCATCTGTTCAGGTGAGACGTTAAACTGAGGTACTGTCTGCCTGTTCATGTGCACGTAAGGATCCCAGGTTTTTTCATGATGGCGTAAAATATAAATTCTGCCATGAAAAAAATGATAGATGGCTTGTCTCCCTCCCAAAACGTAGGAAAAGTTTTGCCTATCTTATGAACGCAGCGCCCCATTGTGGGCAACATTTAAAGAAAGACATGGAGAAGGTCTGTTACTTGAGGAACCTGCAATACAATGTGAAACATTAAAAAATATTAAAAAAATACTCTGGGATGGAGTTCCAGAGAATGGGAGCAATATAGGTGAAACCAGTTCACCAATCGTATGTCGGGGGACATAAAGCAATAAAGTGTTCACTGAGCAAAGAAGTGGCTGGGTCAGTAAGGAGGTCACAGAGGTCGGGTGGGCAAGACCATGCAGGGATCTGAAGGTGAGATGAGGACCTTGATTTGTTTCTGTGGTGGGGGACAGGAGCCAATGGAGCTCCTGAGAAGAACAAGAGGATCAAAGACCACAATTGCATTGATAAGCATGGCAAGAGAGTTTGTAATAATAATCTTTGCATTTGCTATAGTGCCTTTTCACATCAGGAGATCTGAAAGCACTTCACAGGAATTCTACTGTATGACTGTGTATTTTGTGGGTGAACACAGCAGCCCAATTGCGCACAGCAATGTCCCACAAATGTTTGTAACTGAAGTATTTATCCAGACACATAAGGACAGCCCACATTTGACAGGAATAAAGCGTTTGTCAAGACAAAGTTCATTTTGACAACTGTAATGAAAAAAACAATGGCAAATTGTGATATGTGACGTCTTATTCATCAGCAGTTAATTGGCACCCGAATAAATGATATGTCACTGTGTGACAAGACTGTATGTGAGATTAATGCACTGAAGATTTCCAGTGCAGTTGTTTTCACAAAGATTTTCAGTAATGTGGTGAACTAGGAATAAGCAGAACAATGTTTTCCCCAGAATCTTCCACATGTTGAACAATGATTTCAGCTACATCACTGAGGCTAGATATTTTATTGGAAAATATAGGGAAACCAGAGAGACAGTAATGGAGGCCATTGGTACATCTCCTAGCAGCTCCTTGAATTAAATATAATGCATATAGTCAAAAATATTTCAAAGCAGTTTAAAGTTTCTGAAAAGTGTAGTGATTGTGTATTTGTAGACAAACAAAATGTCCCATAAACCACCATGAAATGAATGACCAATTTTATGTGGAAAATTGTTAGCCAAGAAACTGGAGGAAACTTTCTCCTCTTTTTGAATAGTGCCATAAATAACATCATTAACAACAACTTGCATTTATGTAGCTCCCTTCATGCAGGGTAGTGTCTCAGAGCGCTTAACAGTGGTGAAGCTTGATGCCGAGTCAGGAAGAGAGGGGAGAGAGCAGGCACACCTCCCTACTTAACACCCACTGAACAGGTAGATGGGACCTCAGTTTATGTCATTCAAAGGATAACATCTCTAACAACGCAAGCTCCCTGAAAATGCATTTGCACGTTAGTCTGGACTAACAGGGGTTTGATGTTCAATAGGAGAAGACTCGAGAAAGGGAAATGAGGAGAATACCTTAAATTGGTCACTCAGTTTGTTCAAAAGAAATATCACCCATGAGCCAGGACTCAACTTGCTGCTGTGCATATTTCAATGACAAATTGTATTATGGCGACATCCAATGGTGATAAACAAAATCACAGTTCCAACTAAATAACACAGGAATTCACTATTAAAGCCAGGTAATAGACGGTTTATTTTACGCATTAGTAACGTGCTCTTACAAGTTAATTTGGGGTTTTGGTCAACATCAGTTTGAAAAATGGGGGGAGAAAAGCAGCTTTTCAAAAAAAAGGCTTCTTATGAGATCAATGAAGTAGCAACAACTTCTTAAGACTGTCAAGATGCCATCCTTCAGATTCGATGATACGTGAACTATTGAAAATAGAGCAATAATAAATGTTTTCACAAGTCCACAGTTGTTCTCATCAGTCTTAGAAATGCCTCTTCAGTAACTCTCCCCCATGTCTCCTCTTTCTCTACACACCCTTTCATGCGCACACCAGTGCAGAAGTGTGCGCTGTGATTCTGAGCGTAACAATTTCTGTGTAGAGGAATATCAGATAAGAGGTGAACATCTGTACACAGAACTCACTTTTGACACAGCAAACTCAAATTTATGTCTAAAAGCAAAATTAGCCAGAAAGAACGCTTAAATTGAAAGAAATAGGTTCACCTATGTACCAGCTCTCCTATCAATCATGTTAGGCCTTCCTGCAGAAGCCTTTAGCATGCTTGGTCACTCATTCCATGGCTGTTTGTGGGACACTGCTGTGTGGCTTCAGCCTTTCACCAACAAAATACACAGTCAATGCTCTTTACAGTGTACATTGTGAAGTGCTTTGTCACTATGTAATAAGGCGCTATATCAAATGCAAGGATTATTACTGCTATTATGCTTGCATCAATAGTTGACAGCTGTAAATCTCAATTGGGACAAGTGAACAGAAATAAGTAAGAATTGGAAGTGATACAGGATTAATTGCCCAACCACAAGCATTTGGAGTGAACCAAAGAATCAAACTATACCATTATGACATTGAGAAATGCACTAAACGATGGAAGAACTAATTTTCCACCAGAACAACTCCACTTTCAATTTATTGAAGTCAACAACAATTTATATACCAATTTTCATGTCAGGAGACAATCCCTGAATCAAAGAAAATTAAATCCTGATGAAAATATTCTTCATCGTTTATCTCTTGAAGCTCAACAAAACACAATTCACTGCTACGTTTCTTCTGATTAATTGCAACACAAACAAATGTAAAAATATGTTTGTGTGTTACTTCTCTTAAGACTGAATCCTAATTCCTAATTAGATTGGTTATGTCGTAGCAATATGGTGATAGGTGAAATGAGCCCAATTATCGTTTGTTATCAATAACAACTTACATATAGTCCGGTATGCAAGTTGTATGTAAGTACAGGTTGGAGTCCTGTGGTTCAGTGGTTAGAGCACTCACTTCGCAAGCGAGCGACCTGGGTTCGATTCCTGGCAGGGTGAAACCTTGGGCAAGTTTCCTTGCTCCACGCGACTGATAATAATCCCTCAAGAAAAAAATAATAAATTGGTCACTTCAATTCACGTCTGTTTGTGGGGCACTGCTATGTGCAATTGGCTGCCGCGTTTCGCCCACAAAAACAATATGCAGTCAATTCACTTTACAGTATATTATGTGAAGGGCTTTGAGACGTCTGGAAGATGTGAAAAGCGCTATATCAAATGCAAGAATTATTATTATTATTATTATAGCCCCTGGGCACGTAAATAATTGTAATCCAAAGATGCTGCAGCTCTCTGTGCCTTTGTATTGTATTCACAAACTCAGCAGCAACAATTACACATCGAGCCCAGTATAAAGTTTGCCTTTTTATGTGCATTTGAATTGCAAAGAATCTCGGACCCAAATAGTGCAAAAACTCGTGAGTACTGACGGAAAATACCAATAAAATTTTTGCATCAATATAATACATATTACAAATATTTTTACATTACTGCTTAGCTCTATGCTGGTCCAACATTTTGGTTAGCCTGGCTTTATAATATTCAGCTTCAAATCCAAACTTAAAAAAGCATGTTATGGTGACCTCTACTGCTTGTGTCTAATCATTACATTTGCTGATACAGGGTGACTCACACACAGTGATCTGGGTACATAAACTCAGTACCCTGGATTAAAACAAAATGTGTGAAAAGGCCTTCCTCTGAACAGTCAGGTCACCACTGTGTGTTATGCACAAGAAGCACAGCTGACATCACTCCCTTTGCGAAATCACATGTGGCAATCGGGGCAACGAATGTGTGCCCTAAACGTTCCACGAGCACCCACAACTATACAGTGAATGACCAATTTATCTGGCAGATTG